TCTCTGACGGCGACACTTTAAACTCTTGTTGGTGACAACGAGTAAGAGAAGCTTAGGTAAACGCCACTTTAGGGTGATTGATGATGACAATCAACAACTGTTGATTAAGTATCACAATTTTTTCACACCGTACATACAAACTTCAATGGCTAGAAGGGAGTTGCACCACGGAACCAGTCGTCATGAAGACATATAATTCGACGGCGCGGTAAAGCGCGTCGTTGGCTGTAGTTTACTCAGTAGAAAAACAAAATTTATACAAGTACGCACTTTTCCCTTCCATCACTGCATTTTTGAACTCTTTGGTGTATACCGTATAGAAAAAGGTCGACGTGACTTTGTCAGTCGTCCATTGTCGGAGTTCCGCAGGCAGGACCGAACTGATTGGCACTGAGAACATAGTACAAACCACCCTCGAAGAGACAACCACTCGTAGGGACATCGTCGGCTTTACCCATTGCCTCGAAATCAGTTACGGAGTCTTGCTTGACAGTACCAACAACAGGTTGGTCATCCAGATTCTCAGTGGGCAAGATTTTGTCGAATACGTTGTTGTTAAACATTCCGTGCTCGCGGACCTGTGCGGGTGAAAAGAGAACGACCAATATATGTGGCTCTTACCGTGAAGCTGGCTTTGCGATTTTTCTTAACGACAGCACCATTGCCATCCAACAATGGCCGCGAAGGTTCCAACACAACGGCAAAACTGAATCACGATCAGGACTTGTGACGAGAAGCAGAGACTGAGACTTACAAGTGGTTGGCTAGATAATTGGTAGGCCTGTTCCCCAAGTCCGCACCAAACAAAGCCCAGTGCGCCAGTGCAGTCCGCCATTCGTCCACGTAACGCGAAAAGAATTCGACGATGCTGGCGACAACTGGATCCTGTATCTGAGCTAAGTTGCTCGCGTGCTCGCCACAGGCAGTCTTGTGCAACTGCCAGTCTTGTTTTTGACAAACTGCGTCGCAGTAGCGGGTAACTTTGCAAACAGAGCAACACTGGCTTGGTCGCGGAGTGCCACAGTAGCTGCAGCGCGTCGTCCAGCGCGACAATAGAACAGCGCGGGCCATGAAAACCAAATCGTGAGGTCCACAACGAACTGTCGAACACAGCGTTTAAATATGGCATTATCATGTCATCATCGACTACAAGTAACAGAGATTCACGGTTTACCCGTAGTGGCGTCCGAATATCTCTCACGGGTTAACCTCGTGAGAGTTAGTAATCGCTCATCTTCTGACTTCAGCTTCTCCGAAGGGTGTGTAGTGAACAATGTCACATCGAAACCGCGAAGAATGCGAATACTGTCTCGTCCGCGGCTGCGAGAGAGTGCCACATAAGCATTGAATGGGCTCAGTTGTCCGTGTGGCGGTTGTTCCAAGTCCACGATTACATACGGGATCGTCTGGCCCTGGGACTTGTAATCTGTGAAGGCGTAACCTGCGGTCAGGGCATACTGGTGACGCCGGATGGGGACTACGCCATGGGAAGGAGTATTGATAGAGAAGGAACAAGACGTGGGCGTGATTGGCAACACCCCGGGATCTAAGTTTTCGAAAGGAGGGAAGGTGAAATCGTCGATCTTTATGAGAATTAAAGACGGGGGATAGTCCAGGGTGTACCGCCCGCGGTCATCGCGTGCCAGAGGATAGTTTTCGCGAGAATCGAGTCGGATATCTGTGATCTTTCCCCGGGTACCGTTGGCCAAATCGGCCTGTGTCGATATATTCCATAACACCATTGCTTTCATTCCTACGGCTATTTCGACGAAATCAGGTAGTTTCCCAGTTTTTCGGTCGGAGAGCCCCGCTACGACGAATTGTTCCTCGAGAGAGAGAGGACGAAGTGGTTTTCGCACGATATCTTCGGCTTTTGACAAGTAGATGCTATTACCAGAGGCATTTCTGTGGCGCAGAAGCGCGGCAGCGTTCCACTGAGTTCTAGCTGCGTGTCGAGGGGTAACAAGTACGGCATCACACCAAGGATTAGTCTGCCAGGCTTCGTGGTTGTTCGTCACGAGCAAACCCCGCAACATTTCGATGTCCTCAACGCCACATGCTCCTTGTCGCAGGCGTCGAAGGAATGAGGTCCATCGCGCATCTTTTACTCGATTTTGCTGGGTCAATGTGATTACCGTGTCGAATTGCCGATAAAACATGAACCCCAGTTGAGACAGTAGAGAAACTCCACAGTCTGGGTTATATAGTGCCGCTGTGGGGTTTCCTACCGGAGGAAATTGATGCGGGTCTCCCACCAATATGACGTTGACATTTCCGAAGGGACGAGAAGCAGGAGCTTGGCCAATAGAGGCTTTCACGTATCCCAAGATTTGCGAAAGCTGGCCCAAAACCTTCTTCGTAAGCATAGAGTACTCGTCGACAACCAAATAGCGCGCGTGGGGATTATATTTCGCCTGCGCCGTTCCTGTACTTGTTGACTGGATTCTGAGCGTAACGTCAAATAACATGAATTTCCGAGTCATTAAATAGACCCTTACTTGTTAACCAGTTTTCTTTTTCTGAAAATCGAATCGGAATACCAGCCCATTGATGTAGAGTCTGCCCCTTGATGAGAGTTGCCGATATACCGGTCGTCCCTGTTTTGGCTAGCAGATGGCCGCAGCGTAGGAAATCGAAGGTGTGACTCAAGGCATTAAGTAACACAGTTTTACCTGTGCCGCCTTCACCCTGAACGATCATCAGAAGCTGAGCTTGTTGTTCTCCATTCAAGTATTTCCGCAGATGTCGTTCTACAATGTTATGGGCTTGTGCTTGTTCAGTGTTGAGGATATCAAGCGCTTGTTGTTGATCTCTGGTACGTGTCCTGTTCTCGTCGTTGTCGAGCGAGTCGACCGCCCCATTAGCGATAAAAGACGAAGCAGTAAGATCTCGGAGCACAGTCCCGCTGTCGAGTTCCGGCTGAGGTAAGTTTGAGGCTTGAAGTGGGAGAGTGAGAGTTTCTCGGGTCAACGCCGCGACTTTCACTTCCCACTCCTTATACATTAGTTCATCGTCAAGGGACGCTTTTTGGCAAGGAGGTAACTCCGAAGTCGTAGGTGTCGCATGTTGCTGAAAAATCTGCGCTCGGAATGCAACATCCATCGCCTGAGCCCCGTAACGATACTCCGCCGCTGAGATTTTGTGACGTCGAGCTTGTTCGATGTCCGCTGGAGTATAAACCATGAGGTTAGGAGAATGAGCGTCCATTGCCGTAGGATATGATTCATGGGCCGACTCTATGTCCACATCTCTGTCAAACCGACCTCCCTCTTTCCTCCGCTTAGCACTCGAAGAACACTCGTGAAAATATTCAATATTGTCGATAAGTCGTCTCGTTTCGTCTCCACAAAGCTCGAGGAATGCAACCAAGGCGAGTTGGAAAGACTCGAAATCCACCGTGAGATCAGATAGATCGCGCCAAGGTTTCAAGAGCACAAGAATTTGAGCGGCGTAGTTCTCTTGATTCGCATCTTGGCGACTTGGTATCCAACGTCCAACTATATGAAGCGCCGTTTCTTGCTTTTCGCCTCTGATGACACGCGCTCCTTTACGCTGCGATGCAGTCACATACGGGTACCGTTCCTTACGTGGTCTTCCCCCTACGCGGTTTCACTTCTTCTTCAGAGTCACTAGAGTTATCGCCTTCAGATCTCGCACGCGCATCATGGTAAGTCGTCAACAGAAAGTCATAAAGACTAAGCGCGGATAGTCCCTCGCCACGTTCAGAGTATTGCGCTAGTTGGTCGTGTACTGTAATTTTCCCATTTTCTAGTACAAGCCTGGGAGCCTGCATATCTCTTTGTTAGCCTAGGCATCGATGGAACAATAGGCGAGGGAATGAACCTACATGCGAACTTGAATCACCGCTAAGAATCCCCGTCAGCGGGGTAGCTGCAGAGCAACTAATCAACTCTCACCGTTGTTTTATATGAGGGAATGCACGGTGTAACGCACTGACCACTGAGTCCCAGTACACCTTAATGAAAGTATGGGAGATATAGCGGTCACCCCATCCCATCAAGTAACTAACAACTTCGGGCCCGCTTAATTCATACTGTCGACTCAAGGTATTGGCGCATTGTTGGAATAGTTTTTTGTTGATTTTCTGAATCGGGTTATCCGTCGATATGGTTTGCGGGTCGTTGGTGAAAAAAGTGCAGTTGGCTAGCAGAGCAGACGCATTAGCTGCTTGAACTTGCTTCTTTGCGATATAGAGTGTGATATAGAATGCGATGTCTTTCGTTTCCCAAGCGTTCGTGAGTAACTTGATATCCATGTTGGAGCGGGTAACGGTGAAGATGGCTGGGTTCCACGGATTAAGGAAACTATATCGGCGTTTTGGTCCCCAGTTGCCTTCGGCATCGACCCAGTCATCGGCATATGTTGCCCAAGGGTGACCTCTTTTACACACGAGTTTGCCATTCCTACCCTTTAGACAGTAGTGGATTGTGCACGAATGTGCTTGTACGACGGATGCATTCCTATCTTCCGCTTTGCGCCTCCGGTCCTCGTACTGAGGTAATCGTGGATCTTCAGGTCGAGAAAAAGCGATGCTGGATTTCGCTCTGCGTCGTTCTGTGGCGCTATCTTGGATGTCGGAGGATATATCGGCCTTGATATTTGCGCGGATAAACCGCCGAATCTTGTCCCGGAAGATATCAGACAGAAGAACCTCCTGCATGCGTGCGGCAGTTGGTGCACTCCTGAGCCAAAAAAGTATGTGGAGATGCAAGGAGCCACGAGCTTGCGCTTCCACCGTTCCTATATACCCGTTGATAACGCCCAATACCCCAACTTTGCGCTCTATCGACCCACGGGCTTTAACGGTCAACCCTAACATCTCCTCCAATACAATGTTGATGACGACATGGAAATATTCTGCGGCGGCATATGGGTCCGCACCGATTATATGCGCTCTTTGCGTGGCCGTCGGTCCCGACTTGGCCACAAATTGGTCCAAATCAATGTCTACACCCGCCAACACTTGAGCAATTGGATCGTTAGTGTCGGATAGATTGATCGTCGCCCAAATACTTGGTGGGTTGAATTTGAGTGTCATACCCCATATCTGCGACCGAATTGAGACCCTGTTCTCGTCGGTACCTTGAACCTTGGCACGAACAGTGGTTATATGCTGACGTAGCAAGCGCATGGTTGGGTTGGAGAGGGTGACATTGAGATTTTCCTCCTCACTGGCGTCTAGAAAGTCCTTGGGTTTCAGCCTCATAAAGTCCTCGTAGTTGGCGATGAATTGATTATGATCGATGTGTAAAGCAGCAGAGCGGCACACTTGACGCTTCCACAGCACACCAAAGACTTGGAAGATAAATTGAGTGTGATGTCGGAATCGGCCTGACGCGTGTTGCAACGCCCATCGGACATGTTCTTCATAGGTCACCTTCACGCTCCTGTCAACCTCGAAACCACCACAGCCGTAGGGAAAAAGCATTGGAAAAGCCCCAAGCAAGTGATTGGGGTTGGAGGGTCCGCCATCAAATCGTTCGTGATTTTCGTCTCGTCTAGCGTACTCGTTGACGAAGGCACTACCTTTCCGTACGCCATAGTCTTGTGCGAAAGGAGCAGGAATGAAGTTCTCAACCGCGTGAGCGAATAGGGTCGCGTCCGGAATTCCCTCCCCGCCCGGTGTCAACGACTCCATGCACCTGTAAAGGGAAAACCGCTGGATCTGGACACACGCCTCAAGCCCAAACTCGAAGAAACAAGTGGGTGAAAAAATTACCTTGATCTATGTTGTCGATATCCCCATCTTCTTCGTCAATAACCGTTGGGTCAGCTATCCGTCGATCAGGATAGGTAGCGTATAGACAAGCGAGTTCAACACGTACCGTCGAAGTTATCTATTAGATCATCAGTATCCGTCGGGTCGTCTATGCCCAGGAAATTCTCTTCTTGTTCGACGTCCCCGTCAAGTTCGGTAGGCTCACCCGGTTCGTCGTCTGCTCTTTCACTTGCTTCATCGTCGTCCATAGTGGCGTAACCCGTGTGTTCTCGTCCAACAGCATCGACATCTGTCGAATATCGGACCGACTCCATTATCTCCTGCGGTACATCGTCTTCCGGGAGGGACCGCAATCGATCCTCGGAAATGCGGACTTCGGCGTATAACGCATTGTTGCGCTTCAGCCACATTAAGGCATCGAAAACTCTCTGTCTCCTAACGCGGAAGAGCCCGGGCATGCATCGTAATGCTTTTTTGCCCACACCCACGAAGGTGACACCGATGGTGGCGGCGAGTAGCATCGATGGACGGGGTACCAAGTTTCCTGAAACCATCTCTGCGATGTCGGAGGCAGGCAGCTTGAACGTGGAAACATTGCCCTTGAGCTTCTCGTTCGCTAGATTCAGTCTACCGGGTCCCTGGGACGATAGGCCCGCGTTGCGGATGTTTTTAGGGTATATCTTGATGATGTAGGCGACTGGAAAGTAGAGTGATACAAGCAGTTGCTCCGGTAATGTGAGAATGCTAAGTTCAAAGGGAACGTCGCCGATCCACATGTTATTACCCAACGAGAACTTGGGTCGGTCACATCGGCGAAGATTTCGCAGGCAGGTAGTGCAGATATTGTTGAGCTGATGAGGACTAGCAGTCTCATGAAGCAAAAGTCCGTCGATTAACTGATGCGCTGCATGCGGATGTGTTGATTTCAATAGGTGCTTGTTTGGAAGTGACCGCAACATATGTTGCTCTATTTCGCGCGAGGGTAGGTTCCGTGCACAGACGACACATATCTTCTTGCTTAGGGCTTGATTGCTCGTGCGGTCGATGAACCTTGTTGGCGTCAGAAGACTCTTTGTACGACAAACGGGGAAATCACCTAGATATACAATCGTGCACGACTTCTGGCCCCGGAACCGATAAGAATTCGCTATCGATCAAATCTTGGCCGCTAAGTAGCGTAAAGTTTCTTCTAACCTCATCGGAACTGGGTTCCAACCGCGGTTTTTTCACTCTACGCGCCGGCTGTGCTGCAGTCGATGGTGCCTTTCTCTTGGAGCCGGGGTGGGCGCGGACGTCTTGTTGAATGAGATTTTGTAAGTCGACGTCTAATGTGGCCAAATACGAAAATAAAGCTCTCCACGACTGCTTCGCTTTCGATGGCAATTGGCAGTGACGGTCCAGTAATTGGAAAGCTTCCCTGAGAGTGTATGTCGCGAATACAGTCTCCATGACTTCGGCCGCGTCCCGCTGACCTATACGGGGTGCCTTGTGGTTGGAGTTTGAGGAAATTGGATTGTTTCGCTCTATATATCTCGCGCGGCTGTACCACACCAATTTACGGCATGCAACACCCTTCCGACCCCATCGCTGGTCTGCGCAAGATCGTGGACCAAGAAGTCAGTCGCCGCAGAAACCCCGCCGAGAGAAGACTTACGCCAGATGGGTCTTTGAACCCTTTACACTTGATGTGGGCTTTGCACCTTCACGGCCACAACTTCATCGCCAACGCTTCGCTATGGTTTCGACTTCTTTCCACCAATTCCCGGTTCTCCTGACTCGACTGCTTTCCGCGGCGCGAGAAAGACCCCGGAAGGTGATTCGACGTTTCGTTGTATCCTTGCAGGGCAAATAGCCGACATGCCTGCAACGGTTAGCATCGGGACTGGTTTTGAAATCACCCTGTGCATGCCTGATTGGTCTGCATGGGGTTGGGATGCGTCTGAATTCGAAGAAACGTGGGACTCACAAATGTATGTCTTACGGGGCATCGTCTTCAAAGATTTGCGAGACCACAAAACAGAGGTCCTCGTGCGTACATTGTTGGCAAGGCGTCCTTCGTTTGTTAATCGCTCCTTAGAGGACATACTATCGGAGTTGGTGTGCAGGCGAGAAGGTAATTATTCAAGTTGGAGGAGGGGAGCATGCAACCAAGGTGTTGGTACCGCTCAACGACTGGGACTACGAGCTATATCAACCTCGTGCGCCCGAGAAGTTGTATCCTCTTACGTGTGGGGACACGCTGGTTATGGAGTGCGAGTTGAACCATTGCACGACGCTAGCCACCACCCAAAACTACATCGAACATCAGAGAGTGAATATTTAACGAGGCTCAAGTATAAAGGTTGACATACAGCGCAGGTGTACAACATTCAGTCACGAACAATCAAGTTGGTGAAGCCGAGGATGAAAATCGTGAATCAGGTGCGATCGTGTGCGTGTCAGGCTTCGGTGGTGAGGACTGATTTGAAGAGAACCAGATTACTAGAGTTCTAGAGACAGCCGTCGTATGGTGAAGCGAATGCTATGTGTGGATCGTCGCTGCACCGTTGCGTTAGCCTGGCCGCGGGTTCGGAAGCGGAAGGTCGTGGTGTGACGATGAGAGTGACCACTCACGTGTCGTGACTGTGATGTGAAATCTCGATCCCTCTTGCCATCGGGCTCTTATTCTTCTACAATTGCAACATTGCATACATCGCTAGAGCCTATCCCAATGACTATTCACATCGCACGCCACCAGCTTCCTAGAAGTATGCCGCCACGTCGTTTGTCTGAAAACTCACTCTGTTGCTTAAAAAGCAATCACCATCGAAGGCTACGCAGAAAGCTCCTTGCACGCTCTCATACAGACCATGCCGCCAGTCATCTATACCGCCCCGTCTTTCACCCAGCAGGTTATAGCGGATGTGACTCGCACCATAATCGGGATGCGCAAAGCAGAGGCAGGTGTGCGTTGTTCAAGACCTAATAACGACTGACAAGATCCCAGCGTGCTAGACACGTCGAAAGCTCTTATTATATGGGGTTGTTGTTCGCGACAGGCCACACCGAACCTGTCTTCGTCACTGTCCCAACGAAAATCCATAAGACGAAAGCCGAGTCCCCTCGCGATCTCGATTTGTTCTGGTGGATCCCCCGTACCACAGAGCGTCATGCATCGGTCACTGAGATTTCAAGCTCCATGGCTATCGTCAGAAGTTGGCCTATGGATGACCCTGATTTGTTGGACTACGCCTATGTGGTTTTTTGTCTACCGCAACCCGCTGATGCAATGACCAACCCCCCCAACTCGCAGGGCGTCGAACGAGATGGTGCGCACTATGCTTCCGGCTTTTCCCGTTTCCTGGTTCGGGAACATAGTGGTTGTACGCACCTTGAGAAACCAGCCATATCAACCCGACACGGAAGGTGTCGGCAACATGACAATAGAAGACACTTTGTCTGCGAAGGCCCTGGTCAAAATGTACGTGAGAAAATTAACGCCACGATGACTCCACTGAGAAAAAATCATTGTAGGTTGGTCCGAGAGCGTCTTATTGGGCGAGATATCCTGTCGTCGTAGGGTGCATAAAACAACCTATACTTACATGTCCTTCGTGTCGACTTCGCTATGTCCACTCTGCCTTCTATGCTTTTCTTCGACTCGCCGAACTGCGTTGATGCTCTCCTTCGACATTGTTCTTGGTCTGAGTTTCACGCGCTTGCTGGCTGCAATCGCTTGCTGTCAGAACACGCTCGAGATGTCTTCATCGAACGGGTGGCCTACCGAATCTTACCTTTTGTGAAAACAGTGAAGGAGAAACATCTTGTCAGCGAAATGGCCTTGGTGCAGCGGTTCTTGGATCTACTTGAATCAACTGGGTCGATCCTCGTGTCCTCCGTGCCACTGAGCTTGGTCACATTCTCTTCGAACGAAGACGAAGAGGCGAATATAAACACTCTCGACATATTGTGCCCACAAGCAGCTCTCGATGCTTGGAGATCCTTCTTCGAACTGAAGCTCGGTTACTATAGGTATGCATTAATACCTGTATTGCGCTAGTGCTCGACCTTTGTACAGGTACACCCGAAACGTCATCCACCTTCAACATGCGGGGCGTGTTACGGACTCCTTCTGTTTTACAAACCGAACTCACGTGCGTACGACAACGCTCTTGTGCATGATTTGCTTATAGAGTAACACCTTTAGCTCACCATTGTGTACCTTATGGTCACATCGTCGACTAGTGTGCTACCGACGGCCTTTTCGACCCAATTCACCTCCCAAATGAACTTCCTTACAGGCTATACGCTCGTGTGCCCGTACCCACATCTCACACGTGATCGCCTATCGCTTCCGGGCTGGGGTGACGATACCCAGTGGGATTGGTTTCTCGGAAACGCAGCCCATCATGTGGGTCCGCTATTCCCTTGGATCACACTGCTGTCCAGCTCCAGAGACCTCAGTAAACCATGCAAACTAGATTGTCCCCGGGTCATTCGCTCCTGGAAAGGGTTAGAGGGAGTCGAATTTTTTACATTCAGTAAACGCGGTCGTGGACAGGTTTTTAAACAGAACACAGATTTCGATTGGTGTTTATCGGGCAATTGCTTAAACGCGTCATGTAAATACAGGGGAGGAGTTGCTCGAAAATAATTAAACGTGACTGTGACTTGTTTTGTTGATGTGATCGAACGTTGTAGAAAACTGTCGGAGTAATGCGATAATGGGCGTTTCGCCCGCCCTCACTCCGTCACCTTCCTAGTCCCTACCATGACTGCATCAACAAACCAAACGGATCTCTGGAGCACGTTAGCAGAACAATATCTGAATTTACCCCCACCGAGTCCGAGTCTTCCCACTGGCACCTCTGGATCACCGGGGAACGCCATAACAGCTGTGAGAGCCATGCCCGTACTCTGCGAGCACATCATATGTCGCGATCACATTGAGTTCAGAAAGAACTTACCCACACCCACGCCATCGCCTCTTGTCTCTGGCGAACAGCCTACGCTCACAGGTGGAGTTTCGCTTCGCAGGAACGTCGGTCGTGGATTGCGAAATGTGTTTGGCGCGAGATGCTATCACGCCTCTGGGAGCAGGCAAACCAACGCGCATCTTCAGACGCTATCGCGGAAAGGCGCGAGAATCGTTTCTACCGGATTTTACTTTAAGCACGTCGGGGGAGGAAACCGATATCGAGCAAGCTGAAGTAGTTGCACGTGAGTCCTTCGAAGCCATATAACAAGTACTCACTTCTTTCCTCGCTCTGAAGCGCCAACGGTATCGCACACTCAGTCGCCACACTGAAAGCCCAATCAACATAATGCTCCCCGTGAACACCAATGGTGATCGCCAGAGCCCACATGTCGTAGATTCCAAACTCACGTTGCACAGCAGAGTCCGAAGCAAGCACCGAACAGCTAATCGAGCAAATGAACTGTACATTATCCACGCAGCCCAGCCAAGAACCGAGTGGTCGGTATATGCCAATAGCGCAGTAGTAGTCGCTGATGTCAATTCGTTCTGACTAGAATGTCATATCCCTGAAAATGGCATTGACCCAAACGCGAGTGCAAGCCCGCTGAAATCTATTGAGACTAGGCCAGACGACAACGAGTACACGGCAGGCGACGACCTAGGAAGCAACGTACGTCCAACTGACGACGGACTCACGAATTCTGAAGCTACTTCCCGACAGGCGTCCGTTGAACGTGACAGCGACCGACAGGACGACTCAGTGTTCTTCGACGACCTCACCAATCGCTTGTTCACCTTTATCCGGCGGAATAACGTGGTTCGAGCGGTTCCACTCGAAAGCGATACTCCGCATTCGAGTTCAGGTTGGACGAGTGGTGAGGATCCCGAGTATTAGTGTCACCGGCTCACCATCGTGGTAGATGATGAAATTCCACACGAGAGGTTGTTCAGTGAGTGGCTCGATACATCCGCGAGTTCAGAGAGGTTCTAACAATTGCAAGGAAATCATACGAGTCAATTCGAGACAGAGGTGGCCGTCCAAGAGACAAACCTTCAGCCTTCTTACGACGTCGGCCTTCCGTTAGAGCTGTGGCGGATAATTTACCGCACACTATCCTTCATGGATCTACAACAAGTCGGCCAATGCAACAACTTCTTCAAAGAATCGGTGAAGCGATACTTGCGAGATCGGATCTACTTTATGTTGAGCGACAATTTCCTCGGCACTCATACCCACGCGTTTCTTGACATTCTCGCTCGCTTTAACGGAGGCTTAGTGGGTTCTGCGGGCATGTATATTGTGATGCCCGAGGACTCTGGAGAACAGTCTTGGTACCTTCAGAATCTGAACGTCGCTATTGGACGGGGTGGCTTGGCTGCTCTGTCGCTTCTGTTCAAAGAAATCGGGTTCGAAGAAGATGACATGCCTGTTTGGAGACCCCATGTCTACTCCCGTCTATCCCACGAGCAAGTCACTGCTTATCCTGACAAC